AGAATTTAAAATGTTTTCCATTTGTACCCCCTTACTTCTTGAAATAACGACCAGCATTCATATTTATGATTGTTATTGAAGATTTTGTTAAAGTTGTTAAGCTCAGATATTTAACGATGCGATAGGGAATTTCTACAGTTATTTTAATTCGGTAATTCGGTATGAAATTTTAAAAATGAGAAAGCATTCTTGAAGATTTCATTTTAGCTTTAATTGAAAGCTAACTGATTAAATTACTATTTCCAGTAAGCAAAATACTCTGGTGTATTACAAGTAGAAATTATAGAGATTGGAATGTCAATTATTTGCTCGCTTTCACAAAATCCATTACAAGCGGCCATTTTCCACATTTTAAGACATTTGTAAACAAAATTTAATTATCGGTTCTAAAAATCTTCCAAAAATAAAATATATAACATTTAAAATACTATATAAAAAGAATAAACCGTAAAAAAAAAAAATAAAATACTAGTAGGTTGTTTCTTCTTAAAAAAAATGGAAACGTTAAAACTAAATAAAAAATTTTAAAATATTTTAAAAATCTTTGTGCAAAACGACTTATATAAAGTTTTCCAATTTTTGGTACGTAAATATAGTTTCCATTTAATTACAATATCACCTAAAGCAAAGGAATTAATGCAGAATTTTAAACAATTTTTATTATAAATTATTATAATTAAAATCTTAAAAATGGAAAGAATTCTTGTAAAAATTAATTTCGTCGAAAAATGTTTTTTCTTAAGACAGTAATGTTCTTAATAAATCTTATTTATAAAAGCTTCTTCAAATAATGTCATTCATAGTTTCATTACATTTTTTAATTTACAATTCGGAGCAGATTTTCGGAAAAACAACAGCAGTGTGAAAAAAAAAATAGATGATTTACATTCTCCAAGGAGTCCTACTTTTAATTAATAAAATATTTGAGGAAAGGAAATTTAGTTTCTCGAAATTTCATGAAATTAAGTGGAGGTAACATATATATATATATATATATATATATATATATATATATATATATATATATATTATTTTACCAAGATTTTCTAAAAAAAAAAAAAAAATTCAAAAATAATTTCATTCATTTGTGATTAAGTCCTGACTGTTTCATTAAAATCTGACAATTATTTGATTTTTACAAGAGTTTCCAGTCAATGTGTTTTTCACCGGAAAAAAAGCGCAAAAACACTAAGTGTAAATATTACGTCAATCAATGACGGAAAAAACAAGATTTTTAACCGAAATTTAGGACATGCTAGAAAGGATTAAGTTTTTTTTTAAAAATAATTAAAAAAGACTTTGGCCTTTCAGCTTGACGATAAAATTTTGTTTTCATTAAGACCTTTTTCCATTATGCTATGCTGTCTTTTCCAGCGAGCAAGTGGAGGTACCTATTTTAATATCATAGAATTCGCCATGAGCTCATTCTTTAACTAAAGAATTTAAGATTCATCAGAAAAGTTAGAGAAAACCGTGAAATGTTGATATTTCTTTCTTGTAAATATTCGTTGTGTGATTGTGGCTTTGTTTTCGTTTTCTTTTCTTTTTTTTTTTTGACCCCGTTTTCTTACTGATTTATCTTCATGAAGGCGAGTTGAACATTTTAAAATCTGACGTGTGCTAACTTTGTTTTTCAAAATAACATTTACAAATAAACAAGTTCTGTATTGTATGGCCAAATAATTTAATCTCTCTATCATTTTGCGACGGCTATGAGGATTTCTTTTCATCATTTGGGTTGGGTTGATTTTACGACATGTCAAATCTTGTTGGACTACTTAATGATGAAATCATTTTCCCCTCTTTATTGTTATTATTTTTATTATTATCTATATATTAATACGCTTGGTCGAGAGGCAAAAGGAAAAAAGAGAAAGACATAGAATGTAAAATAGAAAGTGGGAGATTTGTGTAGTAAAAAGAAAGGAAAGTGAAACAGAAAAGAATTGGAGAGGAAAACAGAGAGAGAAGGGGGGAACGTAAACAAAAAGAGAGTGTGACACAGAGAAGGATTGGAGAGTAAAACAACGCGAGAGAGGGGCGTAGAGAGAAAAAGAGAGGGCTACACAGAAGCATTGGAGATGCAAACAGAAAGAGTAAAACAGAAAGCGAGATCGAGACGGAGAGAGAGACAAAAAGAGTAAAGCAAAACGAAAATGTGACGTAGAGAGAGGCAAAAAGAGAGCGCAACACGAAGTGGGATTGGAAAGGCAAGCAGTAAGAGAGAGTAAAAAAAAAAAACGAAAGAGGTATGTAGAGAGAAAAAAAGAGAGACTGGAGAGGACCAAAGACAAAGCCAGTTGTTCGTAAAGAGATGTTAAATCAGGTTTCGTGGCCTAACGATCTGTTGTGGTCATTTAATTATTTTTAAGAGTGACTACGTCACTTTTCTTATAAATATCTGGGAATGGTCATAGGTTGAAAATTACAGACAACAGAAGAATTATTAGTAAATAGAAATAAACTTGTTAAATAATAATATTCATAATAAAGTTGTTAAATCTCAGTCCATAAACATTTACCATGTTTGGGAATACGTAAATATTGCTTGCTTACATCTGAGTCTATAAGTATTCATGGTTCAGGAATAGGTAAATATTGGTTGTTTATATTTGAGTCTATAAGCATTTACTTGGTTCAGGGATAATAAATATTGGTCATTTATATTTGAGTCTATATGTATTTACTTAGATCAGGAATAGGTAAATATTAGTCGTTTATATTTGAGTCTATATTAAGCATTTACTTGAATAAGGAGTAAATAAATACTAGCAGTATAACCCGCCTTCGACCGGGTCTTTCATTACTGGGAATTTTTACCGTTTAATTGGAGCAATTTAAGTTTAAAGTCAGCCCACCCGAAAATCAATATTACTAACAACAATTGGGTGCAACTGAGGTACATCCCCAAATGGGGGGGTAACAATTTGAATAGGGGGTGGCCCTGAAAAGGGCCGTTTTTGCGTTCTCAATCTTGTTTCAGCCTCACGCACAGCAGTAGTTGAAGTGGTGTTTATTCTCAGCCGTCCAGTCCTTTGATCAGCAGTTTCAGCCTCGCGCGCAGAAGCGTTCAGGGATGCTCTTCTGGAAAACCGATGGCTACGTTGATCTTCGGACTCAGTGGCTCTGACTGAAGCATTCCGGGAGGCATTTTGAGACAGGCAAACTGAACGTTCTAAAGACGATTCGTTATCTTTTATTCGAATGGCGGACATAGCGGCAGCGGTTCTGCGACCTAGGCAAGTTCTTTCTTTAGTGGCATGTCTTAGGCAAGTATGAATTGTCAAATGGAATGCGTGGGCAAATACCAGAAGAGAACACTATAAAGCTACAGGGACCACTAAGCTTGAATTACTTTAGGAAAGATTGGAAAAATAAATGTTGAGTAATAAAAAAAGCAAGCTTACTTATTACAACGGTGAAGGCAATGCAAAAACTGACAGGACAATAAAAAATTTAAATTGGGAACGGCTATAAACGACAATGAAAGCAACGCCTTAAAACTGTAGTAGTAGGCTTTATTCAACGGAAAGGGTAACCTCACTTGAGAGTGATTGAAAGCTTGGCCAAGAGAGGGGGAATGTGTAATTTGGACTTAAAACCGGCACTGAAGAATTATCTATCAAACAAAACAAAATTCATCGAAATCGGATGAAAATTGTGGAAACGCATAAACAACAACCGATCACACACACACATTTTGAGAATTATAGATATAGATTGGTATGTCTGAATCTGTAAGCATTTATTTTATTCTGGGTTAGGAAAATAGTGGTCATTTATATCCAAGACACAGATATAAATACCCACCATTTACCTATCCTCGAACCGAGTAAAGGCTTATACAGTAATTACACGAATACAATAACATTGTCGGGTAGAACAATTTTTTTCATATACAAAAGACTATTTTTTCGAAATAGTCACCAGTACCATTGGGTACGAACTTTCGCTTGAGATGAAAAAAAATCTTTATTGTGTGGGTTGACAGTTTTTCGGTACAATCGGAAATATGGCTTGTTATACATATCGCTGTCGTCGCTGCTGAAATGAATTACCCACCATCCACTGTTTAGTCTCCAATCAACATTGCTGAACGTTTACAGAGACCAAACAGTGGATGTGAGCACAGGGATCAACCAGCGCCAGTCATTCCAGATTTTGACATTAGCATCTCTGACACTCACCTGGAACAGCTTGAAAGAATCCTCTGAAAACCCAAGAAAGATATAGTAAACAGAATCTGTGATACCGATGTTGCCTTTGTGAAACTTGAAAATCACGTAATTGAAAGCAAAAGCTTCAAACAAAAACTAAAACCAAGCCCATGGTGATTGTGAGATATTGACTCAAGTTCATATTTCACATTTAGACATACGAGCGATTCCGTCAGAAAAAAATTTGATTGATTCGTTTTCTACGGTTTATCAACCCTTTGCAAGTTATTTAAAGCCAGAAAATATTTTTAGATGTTAAGATTTATTTTTGAGACAATAACTATTTAGTGATAAAAGTCTTACTAATTAAACCATAATTGGGGGGGGATAAGAGCTGGATTCATAATTAAGCAGAATTTGATATGAAATTAGGTGGATATAAAGTGGGGGATTAATTCTAAATTATAATCAATATAAAAACTGATCCTTCACTTTGTGACCACGATAGTTTTTATATCTATTTATATTCCAGAGAATGTAAATCAGTCTAAAAGACATGCCTGTTTAGCTAATCAGTATTTCATTGATTGATTGATTCGTTTTCTACGGCTTATTAACCCTTTACAGGTTATTTAAAGCCAGAAAATATTTTTAGATTGTAAAAGTATTTTTTTGCAAGTAATAAGGGGGGGCGATACAAGACTTACTAATTAATCCATAGCTGGGGGTAGAAGATGCGGATTCATACCTTTCCCAAAGATATTTGCGCTAAGTGAATATAACAAACCTAAAGGGATTAAGAATTCCAAGCCTTTATATATTACACCATCCGCACATCCAAGCTTATAGCACCTGGTATTCTGAAGCGGTCACCTATCTAGGTACTGAGCAGGCTCGACGTTGCTTAACTTCGGTGATCGTACGAGAACCGGTGTTTCAACCTGATATGGCCATAAGCGATCATCAATTCAATTTATGAACTGGAAAGATGGTCCCCGAAAAAGCTCAAGCAGTATGTAAGCCACTGTCACCAAACACCGTTTTCGAGAGGCAGGTCATGTACCTCGCATGAACAGCGACAGACTCCTGCACCAGATCTTTTGCACTGAATTCTGCACAGGTCGAAGACCCCGAGGTTGTCCTATGCACCGATATAAGCAACTGAAACAGACTATCAAAAAGGATATGAATCTACGAAATCGAAAGGGAGGGAACTAGAAACAAATCGTTTACTCTGGCGTTAAATTAATTTATTCAAATTTCTTTTCGAACGAAAACGTGGAAACGTAGAGGACAAGACGGAAGGTTCACCAATTCGACCTTTGATTGGCTCCAGCAATCGAGTGTAACTTCTATGGACGATTGTTTCATGCAAGGATCGGTTTCATCAGCCACTAAAAATAGATCAGAGAATTGAGAAAAGAAGGATATAACACAGAGATTAAATACTTGGAAACGACGATATCATGTTGTAAATCTATAAATGTGATACCTACATAGAAAAGGGTGTGTGTTGTGGAGTAATAGATATCGGCTGGAATTCGAACTCGGAGAGCGGAGTTCGAATTCCAGTCTTGTTCGTTAGATTCATTCAGGGCTGGTTTAAGGGTCACGCGCGCCCCCTCCGACCTGAATCTGTGATACGGGCCCCCCAACTCTATTACATCTCAATTTACAAATACCCTTGGTAAATGTATGAATCCATCTCTTCTCCCCCCCCTCCCCAAGCAATGAGTTGAATAACAGGATAGAATGGGTTCTTTGGCCTTAGTTGGCAACCAGTCTACCGTAGAAGGAAATGGCAACCTACTGCGGGAAAATCTTCTGCCCATGAATCAAAGGAGACATGATCAGTATCATGAATCGAAAGAGGACAGAATGGGATCTTGATGGCAACAAGTCTACCGCAGAAAGAAATGTGCGGGAATATCTTCACGATGGCATGACAAATGTGTATCACGTTACTGGCTTTATCTCTTCTTCCGTCGGCTATGATTTGAATAACAGGACAGAATCGGTCCTATAGCCTTGGTTGGCAACAAGTCTACCACAGAAAGAAATGGCAAATGGCGGGAAAACCTGCCTAGTCAGTCATGAATCAAAAGAGACATGATCGCCCACTGTTCGTGATGGCCTTTACTGGCTTTATCTCTTCTTCCGTCAGTCATTTGAATCAAATCGGTCCTATAGCCTTGGTTGGCAACAAGTCTACTCAAATGTGTGCGGGAAAATCAGTCATGAATGGCATGACAAATGTGTATACGTGATGGCTTTACTGGCTATCTCTTTTTCCCTCAGCTATGATTTGAATAACAGGACAGAATGGGTCCTATAGCCTTGGATGGCAACAAGTCTACCACAGAAAGAAATGGCAACCTACTGCGGGACGTATTGAAAGACACATAAACACCCAAGCGTGTATCACATATGACACATAACTAACATAGAAAAGGAATGTGTGATCTTATCTCGATCTTAGATGTTTGGGTTTTATGGCCTGACAAGAAAGATACACTTGAGAACGTCGAGGCAAGTCAGTTAAAAATCGAAGGGTTAAGCACCCACACTTTCTCTCACATCGCGGCACACCAAGAACACCGCCATCGTGGACACCATTAGCATTAGGGTAGGATAAAGTTACAGGCATTTTCGAAACAGTGGGTACAAACCGCGAAGTTTGAGAAAATAATCGGATATCTTCGCCTGAAATGCACAGTGTGCCATTATTAAAGAGCAAGATGCAAGTCAATAACTGTATTTCAATCATATGCACTTTTAATGGTAGCCGATAGAGAAAATTTACGAAAACATTATTAAAATGCCACACTAGAAGCAAAACTGATTTCAGCCGAGACGAAATTCTTGAAAGTCTGAATTTCAGAAGAAAATAACCTATTATAATTGTGTTTGTCCTTCCCTTCATTAATTCGCACGACCGTTACGCCCTGCCAATGGCTCGTAAATAATGGGCTATTTTCGTTTTGGTCGCGTGGAAAAAAAACATTACATGGTTTCAGTGGGAAAATGAAAGAAAGAAGCGAAGTCAGAAGTGTTAAAGTGTCTCCTGCCAATACCTCATAAATAATGGACTACTCCGTTTTGATCACGTGGAAAGAGAGGAACAGACGCTGCTTGGTTTCAGCGAGAAAATTAATGAAAGAAACATGGAAGTTTTGATCGTATGGAAAGAAGAGAAAAAAGACACTACTTGTTTTCAGTTAGAAAACGGAGTAGAAAAAAAAGGAAGATGGAAGTATTTATCGTTTCTCACAAATAACGAACTTTGGACAGTTTATCCAACACTTCAAGAGAAATACTCAATATTTTATTCGAAAATTGGAAAAATAAAAAAAATTAAAAATTAAACAGATCTTACCGATTGTTTTTTTAATCAAAATTGTTTGAATGAATACTTGCTGGCGCTATATATCTTATATATTTCAAAGAGAGAAAGAAACAGAAACTTTGAGGCAAAAACAAACCTTAAAATACAAAAAGAGAGAGACAAATAAGACAGAAATTCCGTTTTTGTACTGTGAGAGTAAAAGAAGTGGGTGTGGCAATATCAGACCGAGAAAACCGAAGAGGTTCCACTCATGGTCCACGCGGAAATGTCAACTTCATCTGCGGGGTACGAACAATCTTTACCTCAAGTAGCCGGCAGACGTCACGCGAAAGGTCATAAAACTACCACCATTTAAGTGGAGGCAAGGGCAGATAACCGGAAAAACAAATACTAAATATTAGACCACTGCAAAAGTTCATGCTCTCGTCGTTCTAAAAGTTTGTTGACGTCATTTTTTTTTTTTTTGGAAGAAGGTTGTGAGGTAGTTTTTAACTGACTGTAAAGAGACAAGTTTTTGTCATTTAAGTTGTTCTGTAGAGATCGGAACAAATGGATATTCGTAGGAGCCAAGTCAGGAGAATACGGTGGGCGCTGGAGGATTTCTCATTTCAACTCTTTACGCTTCTGCCAAGTCTGGCGTCACGCGGTCTTCAATAATGACGTAAGAATGTCGTTTTCTAACGTTAAAAAACACGTCAAAAAACACCGGCACATCCACGAGAGAGAGAGAGAGAGAGAGAGACTCGGGCAGCTTCGATATAAAATGCGTACAGCACACGACATGATTTCTAAGTCTAGCCGAACCCTTCTCCGCTCTCTCAAATTCGGATTTCAGAACACGCCCAAGCGATTTGAGATGGATCAGGGGTTGAGCGGAAGATACTTAGCTACGTGTTTCGAAACCTTTTGTGAACCAAAGACAAAGTGACAGGCGACTATTAATTGAATAGACTGATGGAATAGACTGTCAGCTAACAAGTCCAATGTAATTTTTGAAAAAGACAAAATGACATATTTACCTGTTAGATACGACACGACAAGGATGGCAAGTAAAATTGCTTTTAGACGAATATCCCTATCTTTATCGGATACAACGTGTAGGATCATACTATATTTTATGATAAACCCAACCCTATTTTCTAGTCAATACTCACTCACACTGTTGGTTGGTCAAAAGTGTGTGTGCGTGAGAGGAGGTCAGTATGGCCCAAAATCAATGTAACTGAAATTGGGTAAACAATTATTCGAAAGCTGTCGACAGCTAGAACGCACGAAGTCACTAGTCATCGTGATCGAGTGTTTGAGAATATGGACTTTCATAAAGGTGTAGATCACACCAGATTATGCACTCTCCCAGAAACGTGGCTGCAGTATAAACCACATCGAACAATGTGCCGGAGCAGGTGTCTGCAACAGGGAAATACTCGAAAACGAATAGACAGCTATTTACTTACTAATGACAACCGATGCAACCCAAAATCAATTATTGCTGTTTTTATTTCTATTAGAATGTTGACAGGTTTGCAGTTCTCGTGTTTCTTCTCGGTTGATTACCATTGTCTCCGTACAACATTTCGGTTATTTCTGAGATGAGGAATTGCCATTATTCCAGGCGGACAGACTTGGAAAAGTGTCCCTGCGGAGAGAGAGGTAAGTAACAGGGATTATCTCACCACGTTAGCAGGTGAGCATACTCGAAAACGAATAGCCAGCTATTATCATTCTATACATATACCTTAACTCCCCCCTCTCTTTTATATATATATATATATATATATATATATATATATATATATATATATATATTAGAGTAATGGATAGCGGCTTGGATTGAAGAATCGGAGTACCGATTTCGGATTCCTTACGTGCTAATACCCTTGAAAAAGGGTATGAACCCTCTTCTTTTCCCTCCAGCTACGGGTAAATAGCAGGACAGACTGGGTTCTATAGCCTTGGATGGCAACTGATCTAGGAGAAGGATAACTCTGAATTCAAAATCTGTGGAGAGCCGTTTGGGGACCTAGTGACACGTAGTGCACCAGGTCTCTGTATTCGGCCCTTCAAAAATGTGGATGGTTTTGCACAAAAGCTTCACCATTATAACCAAATCTCATGTGCTGGTGTCGGGCTGTCGGTTTCCTGGAAACTGATCTGCTTGACCCTCATACGTCGAATTCGACGGGAGAGTCGAGTATATATAGTGTGATGAATAAATTATCCAAATTACGCAAAAATGACAGTAAGAATGACATCTCATTTTACAGATATATTTACGAAATTTGCACAATGCTAAAGAGTAAACTTATTCAATAAAATCGACATTGGCTTCAACCACGCCCTCCAGACGACTTCGGAATCTCCTGCAACTCTTCTGGACGGGTCTCCTTGTTTAAGATGGTGAATGCTGCCATAATCCTTGCTTTCGGTTCACCGTTGGTGTTACAAGGAGTTTTGTTGGTTTCTCGCTCACTGCGCCACAAACATAATAATCAAGGGGGTTGCAGTCTGGGGGAGGGGAGGTGGATGGATGTAAGGAGTGATGTGATTGCAGAAATTGTCTAACAGCCATAACTGGCTTCTCCTGGTTATGTGGCACGGTGCAGAGTCCTGTTGCCAGAAATAGGGTCTTCCAGCAGCCACCCTCTTTACCCAGGGCAGTACTACCACCTGTAGGCCTCTGTGTTCAGTCTGAGGCCATCATCAACAAATTCCGGAGTTCTTTTTTTTTATCAGAACGATCAAACCGAGTTTTCCGAGCTGTGTACTTTTATAATCGCCATTAGACTAATTCAACTCTTTCCAAATCCTCTGCACTGTCCTCAAATTGATAACCAAACGCTCTTCAGGGTAAATAATGTGCAAATGTACACTTGAGCACTAAACAGCGGTAGTCTGCTTCATGCTTGAAAACCATTAAAAAAATCAATTACAATTAAATTTTAATATTAAATCAAACCTTTAAAAACAATTTTATAAAAAAAAAAAAAAGTTTAATGTTAATTTCGGTTTTCATCAGAATTAGAATTGATATGGTTTAATTAAACTGTAATTAATTCGATATAGGATACTAAGCCTATTTCAAACCTAGATTTATACAGAGGGTCGCCTATTCGATATATTGCACAGCTAGGATTCCCAAGTACCCTTTAAATTAGGATTTGATACAAAGAAAACTTATAAACACTATATAGTCATGTATTGCCAGTTAATAACTGATTTAATTTTTTTCTGTTTTATTATTTTAACTGTTTATGATACTTAAATAAATTTTCTGAGATTTTATTTTTATCTGCTACCATAAATTAATTGTGACTTTTTTTCGTAGCCAAAATTGTGCTTATTTCCTTGTAACTTTATTACCGGTCACGTTTAATTCAGTTTTGTGGGTCCGTGGACTCTATGGTTGGGAACTTGTCTCTTATGGCGTTCGCGGACCACATCCCTCCCATTCCACATTTATATGTTCATTATGACTGTGTTTATAAATTCATAAAGTTTCATAAAATGTTAAATTTAATAATAAAAAAAGAAAACGTAGGTACTATAATTATCATTAATTTACTCATTCTAAACTAATGACAATCGACCCTACTTTTCTCCGCCATTTACTCCCACACACACACGAAACATTCTCACTGTCGGACAGGCCGTCAACACGTACGTCAACGAACATTTCGGCTACTTTTCCTTTTTCAAGCTATAATGATAAGATTTATCTCTTTATAATCAACGAAAATTCAAGGTAAGAAAACCCCAGACACTTGTATTTTCCAACTAAATTATGTGGACAATAATAAAAAATTTCGAGAGAGCCTTTACTTATTTTTTTATCTTATCATTCTGTCGGATTCCTTTCCATATTTGACCCCAAACTCACAATTTTACTTAGTAATACTGTCTCTTGTGTCGCCAACACTACATAACAGCCAGATAATAAATAATACCCGTTGTTTTGTTCTCATCTTGCTGTTTCTCAGTACGAGTATTTTTGTATGTATAAATGTTTTGTTTTTTTTGGTGGTGGTGGTGGGGGGGGGATTATTATTATTTACCCAGAGTTATAACTCCCCGATAGTAATTTTACCACTTTTTTAGTACCTGAAAAAATTGGATTATATTTACTTTAAATGATTCAAACTTTTGGTTTCTAATTAGGATTATCGACTCTTTACTCTTTCCGCTTTCCACAGGAACTACCGTCTTTAAATTACAGGTGATAGTAGGGGTGCGTATTATAAATAGGTTTCAACAAAAATATTTTTTTAGTTATTGATTTATAATAATAAATAAATAAATAAATAAGTACTTGTTTTTCTAAAATAACAAAGATATTATCCCAATTTTCATTTTAAATCCAACAATAATAATTGTAACATTTTTGTCAATAAATTTATGCTTATCAGTGACCGTATTTTTTATTTGGCGAAAAAATAAAATCTATAAAAAGGCCAATTTCGAAGCAAAGAGGATATCAAGTTGACAATTTATTGATATTTTAATTTTCCTCATCATCACCACCACCACTTTCTATTATAGAATCAATATCTAAATTATTATTAAACAAATTATCATTCACAATATTATCTTCGTCCTGTTCAAAATTATCTTCGGCCTCTTCATTCTCTTACCAAAGGATGTTATCTTCAGATTCATTCACGTCTGTCGTAAGACTACACTTCTTGAAACCTCTCTTTATAACATCCTCACTGACGAAATCCCAAGATTCCTGAATCCATTTTACAACTATTTTTTCCTGTTGCCACCACCATTATTTTAACCGCTTAGTTTCGACTTTATTCTTAATGTCAAGGTCGACAAAATGTCTTCGTATTTTTTTATTTTTTTTTTTTGACAAAATTTATAGATGCGTATTATAACAAAGGGATAGATATATTTCTTAATTTGTTGTTCTTAATTCTTTTTTTGTTGGGGTGCGTATTATTTTCGAGAAATTACGGTAGTTATAAATCCCGCTCCTAGATAAGATTTCAGCTCGTGATTCAGGGTGAAAATATTTACATAAATTTAACACCGCGATCTTTTAAACGAGAAATTCGATCGTTCCTTTTACCGAGAGACATTTTCGTAAGATTTTAGTCTTTAGTTTCGCCTTTTTAATGGCTAGGAGAGTTTAGTTTAAGAACAAAATTATGTCAAAATTCAACATGGCAGACAAGAAGGTTGAAAATTTATTTTAATTTATTTAAAAGAAAGAAAAAAGGGTATGTGAGAGACATAAAAAGTACTATGAAGCCGTACCTATTAAAGTTAGAGGTGAGAAAACTGAGCGAGCATTTAGCTAATACTTTGAGAAATGCCGTGTATACTTGAGTAAAGGGCGAGTTTTATGATAAGATTTTACGACAAAAATACGGGGTCGCACTATATACGGGTAAGTTTTTTGAAGAAGTTACAAATCATGCCTTTTCTACTGACCTATTGGTCTATACACAGGTTAATTTTTTTTCTGAAGGGGTTACAATTCATACATTTTCGGTGACCATAACCTACCTGGTAGGATTACACCTGCTCACGGTACCATAGTTTCTATCAAAATAAAACAAACAAACAAAAAACGTGTGTAGAGAGTACGTTTTACTTAGAATGATTTGAATTATCATAACCCGATGTGCCTCAGGTCATGGGACATCCTGCATTATATAGCGGTACTCCTGACAAAAAGATTGTCATTGGAAAGGCAATACCTCAGCGATGTGAACACTTGTGAAACGAAGATGAATGCAAGTCAGAAATAGGAAAAAAATCTATTAATTCTTCATTTATAGAAAGCATTTGTTGATTTTTAAGTGACATATATAGTGGATGAGGTTTCGCCCTTCATGTAGTGACAAAAAGGAAGAAACTTAGATTACGTAGGAGGCAGGCCCGGGGCAGAGCTAAAAATGTATATCTAAATCTTCGTATCATATATTACAAGCTATATGTTTAAAAAAAAAAAAAAAAAAAAAACGAAACAGGAGGTCTCTCTATACGTGAAATAGGCTTATACACGAGTGTATGTGTACATGTGTGTGGCGGGGAGGGGGTCAGCTATTTTATTTGAGCGAATGATAGTCGCAGAAACATTTGATTGTACGGATTACATGAAGAACGAGTTTGAATCTAAGACAAACAGAGACAATACATCAGTGAAGAGAGAGCGAGACAATACCTCAGAGAAGAGAGAGACAGACAATACCTCAGAGAAGAGAGAGAGAGCGAGAGACAATACATCAGAGAAGAGAGAGAGAGAGAGAGCGAGCGAGACAATACGTCAGAGAAGAGAAAGAGCGAGACAATACATCAGAGAAGAGAGAGAGAGAGACAATACATCAGAGAAGAGAGCGAGCGAGACAATACATCAGAGAAGAGAGCGAGCGAGCGAGACAACGCACCAGAGGAAAGACAGGGCGTAACAATACACCAGAGAAAAAAGCGAGAGACAATAGGTCAGAGAAAAAAGCGAGAAAGAGAGACAATACATCAGAGATGAGAGAGAGAGGAAGAGAATACATCAGAGAGAGAAAAAAAACGAGAGAAACATCAGAGAAAAAAGCGCGCGTGAGAGAGAGTGAGGGACAATACATCAGAGAAGAAAGCGAGAGATACAATACATCGGAGATAAAAAGAGAGAAAGAGAATACACCAGAGATGAGAGAGAGAGAGAGAATACATCTGAAAAGATTTAGAGCGCTAAGATTGAGGGTAAAATGTGAAAAAATTGGCAAGACAATTTGTTTAACGACCTGAGAAATAAAAAAAAAAAACATTGAGAGAAAAGTAAATTAAACGAAGTCAAAGATGGCCGTAGAAAGCAAGCAATCAAGACTTTTAAAAAATAATATATAAAATACATAAAGGTTTTTTTAAAAAAAGAAAAAAAAAAGAAAAAGTAACGAAGAAATGAACACGTGTACCTCACTAGCCATGCTGCCCTCTTACCAGACTTGAAAACTCCCAACAATTTCTCCAAACATTTACAAAGATGAAGAAATCTCTGCATTTATTTCCTCGAATTGAAATGATAATTCTTTCCCCTCCCACCGAACGACCAGCTGGCAGAAACTGAAGAAGGGGTGGTGGACGAGACAATGTCTTGGCACCGCCGTGAACCTGACACCTGGATCGTGTGACCAACAAACAGCCGGGTACGAGGTTAAAGAAAAACTGCCATCCTCCAACTGGAACAAAATACGAGAGGTACTTGTCTACCAATAATGAGACCTTAATCAGCGCTCAAAAATAACCGTGCCCGAGGGGAAATAATTATACTTGTAAAATCTGTGAAGAACACAGATTCTGCGAGTATAAGACTGTGAGTTAAATGGTTAGCTGTGTGATCTGTATCAATATTATTATTATTAATATTATAAATAAATAAATAAAAATAAAATAATAATAATAAAAATTATAAATAGAATAAAATAAAACAATAACATAAAAACATTGTATAAAATAAATTTTAAAAATTAAAGATAATAAAAATATTCCCACCATGCAACAAAACTGATCCTACCGGAAATACGGACATCTTACCAAAAAAACGTTAAATTCAATATCTTCACCATGAACCTTGTTACGCGCAACACGTGTCCAACTTCCTTCTGTGATATGGGGGTTAATTTTTCTCCCTTTTATCACATGTACCATATAATAACTGTAACCTAAAGATACACACACCAGTACACAAAAAATATAAATAAATTGTATGAAATTAACATACAATTTACCATGTTTTCCCTGTTATTTGTGTACGTTTTATTTCCTGTCAAGTATGCTTTTATCTCCGGAACACGAGGCTAATTTCTGCTGCTGTGATGTGAGTTCCATGTGGAGGGTCTGTTTCGCAGTCGTGTTGCACTAAAATGCTTTAAAGTTAAATTTCCTGATTTTACCGTCTTTGTGTTTTACGCCGAAAGAATTTAAACAAATTCTGGCAATCAATCTGTATGGTAATACAGAATCAAAAATCGATTTTCATTGGCCAGTAATGAATGGAAGCATTAAACATAGAATGGAAATATATAATGTAAATACATTGTAATGATTTTACTATAGAAACGCATTGAAAATCAGGAAGAAAGGGATCGTCATAGGCAGGACCGGTGCAAGGATCTTGTGTCCCAACCCCCAAGTGTTTGATACGAGAACCCCCACTCTACCAAGTCTCAATTTTCATAAGGTAGTATAAAATACAGATTTTATTATAACCTAATTATGTACTATAATGGCTCATATGCAATATAGGTGAACAATTCAACTAGAAAAATTGAAAATAAATACAATGTATCTAAATACAAATTAGAGACATGTCATAGTAGATCATTCCATCTTAAATATATCAACAATGTTTTGGGGCAATTTTTTATCAACTTGAGATTTTTCATGTTAAAAGGTTGACTATTTTGACACATTCAACATTATGTAAAAAAAAAAAAAAAAAAAAAAAAAAGAAAGATCCCTAGGATGACGTCAAAATTCGCGAAAATTTTTCATCCTTTAATAGTCAGTTGTGTTTAGTTTAATTTGTAATATATAAATGCAGGTAGAAAAAAAAAAAGCAAATGTTGGTAAGATAACTGGGACACAAAACACTGCCACCAATCACACCTCCCCCGGTCGGGCGGTTCGAGGTAGTACGCACTGGTCCTGGTCAGAGGTCAGGAATGAATGCAAGCGTTACTCATTGAATACACACACACGTATATATGTATATACTGTAAAAGCATTGCTAATGATTTTACTGTAGGAGGGCATTGAAAATGAAGAGAGGGATTGTCAGTAGTCAAGAATGAAGATAATTATTACTGATAGAATGCAGTTATTATAATAATTTATTGTTCATAATTAGTAGTATATTAATATTATACATATGATTAAATTAAATATATTCTATCAATAATGCTTGCATTGAATATCAAGAAGAAATGGTCAAAAAAATTATTGGTAAGCGTTTGGCTGTTCGCTAGAAACAACTAAATTTTAATATGGTGAACGGTAATAATGGCACTGGTGAAAAAAAAAAAAGACTCTTTAAACAGGTTAAAATTAAACACCAGTAGCTATTTAAATTTTAAGCTATTTAAAGTTAAATTTCTAATCAGAGGACAATTGTTGTCTGTTTATTTACTTCTGGTTCAGTTGTCCGGGAACCGTCAAATAATCATTGATCTCAGTGGCTCTACCACAGACCTATCATGGAAGTCATTAAGTAATAAAGGAAAAGAGAAGATTTGCTTCCAAGGATACATGTCTACAAAACAGATTATAAGATCAACTACTAGCAGATGGATATCTTTTTTCCACTTGTGCTATTTTTTATCGGTGCCATTATAAGCTAAATTCTTTGGTTAATTTGCATTATAATCCACCAAAACCAATTGTAATGAAAATTTTCCATTATGATGTGAAATTGCCTGATTTTTTCAAAAGTAACAATAAAAGTTTGCACTCGAATACCGTTTACGACTTATCGACAGTGTAAGTTCGACCTCATTCACGTTGCGGCAAGAGAATGGCCGCCATTACTGGCTTTGTTTTCTATACGCTTGCCTCGAGTAGTAATGCGCAGAAGCTTCACTTATCTTGTTTAATGCGCGAAGTTTTAAAAGTGACCCAACAGAAAAAGCCTCACTATTCTAAGTATATCAGTAAAAATGAAAAAAACGAAAAATAAAATAAAAAATACACGCCTGAAAGAATAAAAAAATGATTTTTTTCTTTTATTTCAACGATGTTTTTTCTTTTTTAAAAAATTGTGTCGTGAAAATCCGACAATTAATTTTTGCAAAAATTTCCAAAACAATGTGTTTTTCATCAGGAAAAAAATAGCGCATTTTCCGTTGACTCAAGAATATTTTTCCATTGCTTTTCTAAATAAGTTAAATGTCTTAAGTTAATCAAATTTTAAACCAAAAGAATTCTTATACTCACATTATTTTTTTGGTGGGGGAGGGGGGGGTTATCCATGACATTATATTTATTTAGAAAAGCTTTTGTTTTTCTAAATAATTTAAACTAAAAAAAAAAAATTAAATAAAAAAAAAAACAACAGAATTCATTATTTATTAAAGCTTCACATCTTTTTCTGTTTAGTCAACCAATTTAATCAAAATTTAATTGGAAAAAGGAATTTATACCAATTTAAAAAAAAAAAAAAACAATTCATAGATAATATTCATTTTTACAAAAAAAAAAGAAAAATAAATTCGCGGATTAAGCAAAGCATGCGCATTTTAAATTAAATTTCGCGAAAATTGCGCAGTAATCAAAACGAGTAAGAAGATAAGACCAGTAAAAAAAATCGTTAACTAAGTAAGCGTCCGCTCATTACTGTTCAAGGCAAACATATGCAAACAACGCCAGTAATGGTGGTCGGGCTGTAGATGCGAGGCGAATAAGGCCGAATTTAGATAACTCCTAAACGGCATTCAAGCACAAACTTTTATTGTTATTTTCGAAATAATCAGGCTATTTCACACCATAATGGAACATTTTCATTACAATTGGTTTTTGGGGATTATAATGCAAATTAACCAATTCGTTTAATCTACAGCCCTCAAATATGATTTAAATACTTGTTACACGAAAGGAAAGTTTTTTTTAACACGTTATTGTTATTCATTGGGAAAGGTTAACATTAACTATTTTCTGTCATATTAATTTATCTTTAACAACCACCGTTTGTAAGTATTCGGTGTTAGGCGACAATTTTTATCTTAATATTTATGTCCGAAAAGAAAAATATTTGCGCATTTTCTTCATGTGCTGTGTCCCTTCAGGACGTAAGCGATTATGACACTCCACAATTTCCTGTCCTTTGTAGCTCTTAATAAATTTTGTCTTTTTGTTATTTCTCCTAAATCCTGTCCAGTCATCCATTTACACAAGTTCATCAAATACGTTATGCATTGTTTTCCTGTCTCACTCAATCATTATCTCTAAAAGAAAAATACTCGCAATCTAAATATTTTCTGGCTTTAAATAACCTGCAATAGGTTGATAAGCCGTAGAAAATTTAACAATCATCAGTAACATGTACAGTGTAACCCGGATATAAGAGAAACCCGAATATAAGAGAGATTTTATCTGGTCCCAAATTGTTCCAATACTTACCTAAACAAAATAGACCAAACCCGGATATAAGAGAAACCCGGATATAAGAGACTTCTTCTCCGGTCCCGACAACTCTCTTATATCCGGGTTACACTGTATATGAAATTCTATATAATAATAGTAGCAAAAATATAGGCGTTAAAAAAATAAGAAAAAAAAATACTTTAATTTTTTTTTTTTAAATATTCTTTAATTAAAAATATTTTTTGCGTGCATAATACTTTAGGAAAACTTTTTCTCAGTCTCTCATTATATCTAAAGAAATAATGAAGCGAAAAATTTCGTTCTTTGAGGAACTTTATCAAGGGCAAATGTCCTGAAAACGTAAGAGGTTTTCCTTTGTCATTTCTTTAATATTGTTTTTGCATATATATTTATTTATATCTGATGTTTTTTTTACATACACACATTTGATTGCTCGTCACCTGAAGAGACCTGACGGTCGAAACCAAGGTTGCGCGCGGTTACATAAAGTGTTTATGCTCATTTATTACATTTACACACACACACATAAATTAAAGGGTTTTGAAGACAGTAGACTGAAGCACCGTGATCAGCTTCGTCAAGCTCTGAAGCAGAAACCCCATCAAAATCCTGCTTTAACAAATTTCATCTGTCAGTGTGGCTTGGTCGCCCACAGCAAGGCTGGGTTAGTATCACACTTAAGAAAGCACAAATACATGTCTTTCCCTTACCTGATTTTCTCCACAATAGCCACTTGCTAGCATGCATAACTATTAAAACGAAAGGCGCCATCCACTGCTGACCCTCATTTATCGTTCACAATAGGAGAGTACAATAATATATATATATATATATATATATATATATATATATTAGACACACAAATAGAAGTTAATCCCTTGTTTCCTGTTGGGATTGGTTCCTTTTAAAGTTTTCTCATTCTCTTTCATTCCCAGTAGGCGCTTGTGTCTTAGTGGCTTTATCACCTCGCTTGGAGTGAAATGGTTAAAAAATATTTTAATCTTAGAGTTGATAAACATTAATATTTCTTCCTTTTAACTATTAATCTTGTTTGCAATTCAATAAACACTGCATTTTTAGGACATGTGTGCGTGTGATAGATATATATATATCATTATTGTATACCTAATTATATATTTACTATCTTATAAGCCCATTTTAAGCTAGCTCCTGTGGTGGGTTAATTGGGCCACCGACCCAAAACTAGAGAGACCTCTGGTCCAGCTTAGAAAACAGCAATGATAATTTTGGAGAAATAACTTTGAATTCCCCAATTCACTCCATGGAACTTCAAAACCTCACTTTAACTCTGATTCGGGTTATAAGTTCAATTTTGGCCAAAAGACCGATTTTTGTCGAAAGAGATGAGAGAGATCAGGAGTACTGAAGCCTTGTCTGTATGTATATGCACGCTGTAGCCGTTTGGTCACCATTAGTTCTGTTACCCTATTTATTTATTTATTTTAGTAAGGTAAAGAGGGCATTTATTTGTTTTAAGAGAAGAATCACCTGACAAAGGTTAAAAGAGAGATCAGAAGAATTGTAGTTTAGATATAAAATCTACAAAGAAGAGGTTCAATTAGTTGAACAATATCTGGAATGACGTCACTGTTTCAAAACGAATTTAAAAAAAAATGGAAGGCGGGGGAGAAAAGAAGTCTGTAAAATCGGATTGTCGCCAACTGTCAGAAGTTTTTTTTCTTTCTTTCTTCAGAATAGGGCAATGTTGTTAACATTCATTTCTTTCTTTCTTTTTGTTTGTTTTTATTCGGAACGCTCAATATGGCCGAGATATCAGTTACCATCAGACACAAACCATAATGTAAAGGAATTCGTACAGTATAAAAGAGGATACGACAGAGATTGTGTGGCTGCAGAGGTGGAGAAATGAATCATGTCTTACCTGTAACCTTTGCACCATTGACAAAGTGGACAAGAACAGCTATTGTCACCTGACTAGGTTCATTTTGGAACTCGTAGGCACATGCCATCCTTTACTAATGACATCGTTACTTACCTGCAAATTGAAAACAAGATTCAAAAGTGAAAAAAATGATTAGAGAAAAAAGTTCAAAATGTCAAGAAATAATTATATTACAAATTTTATATTACAAGTGTCCGAGATAGAAGAAAATGACTCATGTACTCTTTAAAAGGAAAATATAATTTAATACATTGTTCATTCAGATAAAAGAAAATAATTTGTATTTGAGTTGAAACAAAAGATTGTTTCATTTTACAACACATGACGTTTAAACACGTGATTTCGTTTTAAACGTACCCCCATCCCATAGACTTGTGACCGGGACGCACTACAAACGGAGACTTGTGACCGGGACGCACTACAAACGGAGACTTGTGACCGGGACGCACTACAAACGGAGACGGGACGACAAACGGGACGCACACTACAAACGGAGACTTTGACCGGGACGACCGGGACGACGGGACTACAAACGGAGACTTGTGACCGGGACGCACTACAAACGGAGACTTGTGACCGGGACGCACTACAAACGGAGACTTGTGACCGGGACGCACTACAAACGGAGACTTGTGACCAGGACGCACTACAAACGGAGACTTGTGACCGGGACGCACTACAAACGGAGACTTGTGACCGGGACGCACTACAAACGGAGACTTGTGACCGGGACGCACTACAAACGGAGACTACAAACGGAGACTTGTGACCGGGACGCACTACAAACGGAGACTTGTGACCGGGACGACCAGGACGCACAAACGGAGACTTGTGACCGGGACGCACTACAAACGGAGACTTGTGACCAGGACGCACTACAAACGGAGACTTGTGACCGGGACGCACTACAAACGGAGACTTGTGACCGGGACGCACTACAAACGGAGACTTGTGACCGGGACGCACTACAAACGGAGACTTGTGACCAGGACGCACTACAAACGGAGACTTGTGACCGGGACGCACTACAAACGGAGACTTGTGACCGGGACGCACTACAAACGGAGACTTGTGACCGGGACGCACTACAAACGGAGACTTGTGACCGGGACGCACTACAAACGGAGACTTGTGATATATTGGGTTGATCCTCAAGTAATTTATGAAGCAATTGTAATGACAAATGAATCATACTCTAACTACTAATACGTGGTAGTTAAGAATTTAGAGTACACCAAAATTACTTCGTGTTGCAGGACAATGGCGGTGTACACGATGGATTAAATGCAAAATGTTTTCCATGACAACTTCAGGCTGCTTACAGCAAAAATAACAAAAATACATCTAAATCGTTTGATCTGTTCTTCCCCACCCGCCATATTTTCTGCCGATCGGTTGTCATTTTTGATCGCCGCAAAAACGCTTTGAGCCGAAGAGAAACTTTTTTTTTCATAAAAACTAAATTTAGTCGTTCGCTGAAAACTTTTTTCAAATTAAACCTTGCGGAATTTTATTCAGGAAGATGGTGCTAAGTGTCGACAGGTCATTTCAAATAAATGCGAATCGATATAATTATATAAAATTTAACTATACGTTATTAAAACCTTTATCACTCTGTAGTTGACTATTTTCATCAAGCAAAATATGAGACATGCTAATGCAAACTGAATTTGAATTTCTTGGTTGTGCAGTCATATCCTTCTATGGCAACACCTAAAACAATCTTGACTGAAATTGAGAGCCAGGCTACTGCAATTTCAAATATAAAACTACTATATAAAACACTATATTTTGAGGGGATACAGTAAAAGGGGAGTAATATTTATAAATGATGCCGAGTGCGAAATGTTAAAGTTAAAAAGAAACGAAAATTATTTCTTGTTGTCATGCTGTCTTTGTTCAAAATAGCCTAAATTAGGAAGGCCGAAGTTAGAGAGAGTATCAACGGAACAGAAGACTAGGTAGAGGAAAAACAAAGAAGAGGTTTATTAAATACTCATATACAGAACGGAAAAAATGAGTAAATCAACTACTCTTCAAATTCCTCTCTAATGTGGCTACTTGCCATATTTATAAATAGGAGTAGTCCATTGTCACAGTAGTATGGGAAAGCAGGAAATACGCTGAGCCCTACTCTACAATACCAGTGTTTTACTAAATGAAAGAACTGAGATTATGTCAGTGTGCAGGCATTTAAGTGAAATTTTTTTTTTTTTTTTTTAGGTACCTATAAACCCATATGAGCGAAAGAAAAATTTTTTGCCCCACCTCTTATCCGCATAAGACGACTGATCAAGAGAAGCGAAAAAGAGACGACGACGACTGATCGAGAGAAGCGAAAAAGAGACGACGACTGATCGAGAGAAGCGAAAAAGAGACGACGACTGATCGAGAGAAGCGAAAAAGAGACGACGACTGATCGAGAGAAGCGAAAAAGAGACGACGACTGATCGAGAGAAGCGAAAAAAAGAGACGACGACTGATCGAGAGAAGCGAAAAGAGACGACGACGACTGATCGAGAGAAGCGAAAAGAGACGACGACGACTGATCGAGAGAAGGAAAAGAGACGACGACGACTGATCGAGAGAAGCGAAAAAGAGACGACGACGACTGATCAAGAGAAGCGAAAAAGAGACGACGACGACTGATCGAGAGAAGCGAAAAAGAGGCGACGACAAATAAGTAATTAATCGATGAGATTGAGTGGAATGAGATCAAAACAGGAATTAAATACAAATGATGATAAAGATTTCTATTATTTCAGCCAGACAGTGCCAGATGACTGACGAAATCTTCTGGCGTAGACATCTATCCGAGAATTTGACACGCCCCAATTCGTAAAGATTACAAAAGATGATAAAAAGTAATACATCATCAAATTCAGATGACTTTGCCTGGCAACCAAAACACTTAATTGTCGGACATTCTAAGAAGTGTGAACTGAAGCGTAAACAATCGCAAAAAGGTCACAGGAATGCAGGTAAAGGACAATCTTTGTTCGGCTAAGAATGGTAAGGGCCTGTAGACCTGGGGTCGTCTAAACGCGAATCGCCACTCGTTGACATTTAATGCGGTCAGTTCATTGTTTCATCATAGTTTAATATTAAAGGAAAACAAGAAGAAATAAAAACACTATTTAAATACACTGGTCAACTCAAAAAATAAGGTTTTTTGTACATTCGCACCCATTTTTCACAGACATTTCTAGAGTAGCGGCCATTTCGATGTTCTTCGTACTGATGGATTACCACCCCACCCCGAGGATAATCACAGGCGGCACGATATTTGAAAAGCTCTTTTCCATATTACTTTGGGAGAAGGAACGTGTGTTGCTGCCACAAAAGTCAGTCCTATAGACACGAGCCGTGTAAGTACTTCAGAGAAACAAACGGAAGATTGTATTGAACTGTTCATAACTTCAACTTAGATTCTTCCTTTATCCTTCTGTAACATGTTTTAATACATTTATTAATTGTTGTTTGTTTAAATTCCATATTTCCTGTCTTATTTTTTGTTCACTTCGAATCACAAGAGTCTGCGAAATATTGTTCGCGGGAGAAATGTACTAGAAGTTGGTAATTTAAAAATATGTATTGCTGGTATTTTTACTATAAAAAAGTTTTGATTTTTGTGTGGCGGTTCATTATTTGCCCATAGCTTAGACTCAAAGTGGACCTGGGAACAATAGCAATTAAAAGGTGATTCGATGCTCCTCAAAACGTTCAATCTTCCGATTAGAGACCTTGCTGCCGGATGTAGTTTATCTCACGGAAAGAATGGCGAGGAGTAAAAAGATGAAAGAAGTTAAAATCAGAAAGAATTACAAAAGACTATTCATACCTTTCGTTTTCTTTTCTTATTTTTTTTTTCTTTTATTTGCTTTCGGACAAGTGGTAAACTGCTTTGAAAACTATGTCATAGAATTATAAGACATAATGTATGTTTGTCAACAAAAGGAACGACATAAGATGCGAACTACGAATTAGAGACATTTTTTAAAATTCATTTCACTTTAAGGAAGGTAATAAAGCCCCTAAGACACAAAGAGTTAATCAGTGTGAAAGAATAAAGGGAAAAACACCATTACAGAGAGAGAATTGTAAAAGAACAAGGGTTCAGAGGCGAACGATTGACATTGCATTTAAATTTCTGAAGATCAAAGATGACTGGGAAGCAAGAGGCCGGAAGAGAGTTTCACAAGTTCGATATCTATTACACAGTCCGCACATGCACAGATTGTAGATATAAACAGTGCTGATACTGAACTCAACATTGGTCTGGTGATTGCTTAAAACGTGAAACTGCCACTCACTTTGCAGTGTTCATTTCTATGTCAATACTGTTTATATACGTAAATTTTCTTCGTCCATAAACATAAATTTTAAAAATATAGATATATATCATATATAATTGCTGATATCTTCTGACGAGTGGACAGAACGATTACAAAAATAGGGTTCGTCTACGAAACACTGGAGTCGGGTGCTGATTATAACAATTAGGTAAGTGACAAATTTGATATTTATAATAAGCCTGTCAGGATAGAACTTACCAGAGCCGGTGGGTACTTACACCGGAACCCCGTATATATGTAATTTTATTTCTTTTTAATCATTTTACCCCAAGCAAGGCAGTAAAGTCACTAAGACACAAGGGGGTTGCCAAGTGTGAAAGAATAAGAAGAAAAAAAGAGAAACATTATCAAGGAGAGAGAACAATAAAAGAGGAATCAAGAAGACAGTAAATAACAATTGATATTGATCTTCAAAAATTTAAATGCGAAGTTGACTGGAAAGCAAGAAGCTGGGACAGTTTTAGAATCGAGAAGGCGATATCAATTAGACAGTCCGCACATTTACAGACTGTAGATATAATCAATGCGAATATTAAAAGCAACATTGACCTGCTGATTGCTTAAGACGTGAAACTGCCAGTCACCTTGCAGTGTTCATTTCAATGTCCATACTGTTTAGATACATAAATAATCTATCCCTGACAACTAGCATTTTCTTCATCCATAAATATAGAAAATTTTAACTACATACATATTTTAGTTTAGTGGCATATCAACCTCTGTGGGTTATTTAATGTCAAAATCTAAATATTTTGTAAGCAATTTTATTTTATTTATTTCATTTTGGGGAGCGGGGGATAATGATTTTCGTGATATAAGTCTTACTAATTAACCCATAGCTGGGGAGAGGTGGATTCATACCTTTTCTAAAAGGTATTTGCGCGTCAGAGAATATAACGAACCCAACTGGATGTGGAACTCGGCTGTCCAGTTAAAAATTCCGAGCCGTTATCCTTTACACCACCCGCACATCCAAGCTGACAGTACCTGGTATTCAAAAACGGTCACCCTTCAAGATACTGACTAGATACGATTTTGCTTAACTTCAATTACCCTGAAAATATTGATAGAAAAGGATCAGGAAAGCTACATTGCGGTGTTGGGGAAGTGACACAAGCCGAGATGTCAGAAGTACAATAATTTAAAATATCTAGAAAGTGTTTTTACAGTGGACGGAAAATTCGACACCGAAGACGCACTGGGATAGCAAAAGATGCCTACCAAAAAAAGCAAAGTATTAAGAAACATGAAAATTTCGTTAGAAATAAAGGAAAGAGTACTAAACTTAAGCAATATCGGTCCTACTATATGTTAGTGAATTCTGAACAATCTCGTCACAGATGAAGGGGCTTCAGGCAACAGAAATATGGTTCTACAGAAGGATACTGAGAATACCATGGACCGAACATATGAGTAACGACGAAAAAAATAGATACGGAAAGGACATTTATATTTACAATCAGAAAAATACAGTTGAAGCTTCTGGGACATATGAGGAAAGAGAGCTTGAAAAATTTGACACCCATAGGACATACTGAAGGCAAGAGGTACAGAGGGAAACAGCGCATCACTTACTCACCGAGCTGTACTATGGGCTACAGCAAAAAAGGAAGTTCTTGAGGGCCATCAGGGACATGGTACAGTGTAACCCGGATATAAGAGACTTCTTCTCCGGTCCCGACAACTCTCTTATATCCGGGTTACACTGTACATAAAAGAAGAAAACCAGAACAACAACTCAGAATTATCTCTGGTTATAAAACACGACACTCGAGACTGGGATAAACTCTCAACTTCCGCTTGTACGTGGGTGTCCCAATCACGGTGACACAGCCATAATTTTTTGCAGTGTCTTGTACATCTGTACAGTGCAAAGGAACTGAAGGAACATTGAAAAGCCATAAATAGGGTCGAGAATATGAAATAGAGCATGGCTGATCATGTATTTGAGGAGGGGTCGGTGGTCACTAACCACTTTGGGATGGAGTAAAAATACTAGACAGAACGACATTGAGTGTTAGATGTCTGATACAATCAGTACATGTACGAGGCTATGAGGGCCCACTCAGTAGACCTAGCGTAGAAATAAATTCCATAAGCGAGACATAAAAAATTACGAGAAATAACAGTGTTTCAACAGCAGAACCAGTAAGACAAAACACTTTGGCGAATGCAGACAAATTTGGCAGCAGCAGGCAGTAAAGAATGTTCACTTGGACGTAGACTTAAAATTCTAGGTTCAAGACTGTCCCAGAAAACAATAGTGGATTAAAGCGTTGATTCGCGAATTTGTTGATACCAATTCTAAGTTTAGTGTGTATGAAACAGGAGAGATATCCATGATTTTGTACTCCTGAGAATTGATACTCATAGCGCTGTCACATTAAATCTTTGAAGAAAATCCTTTCTTACATGCGACAATTGAGTAAACTGTACCGATGGAAAAAAAAACAAACAAAAAAAAAAAAACAACCACCTATGTTACATGAACAGATAATATATCCAACGCAATTGCAAATTTACTTCAATAATGGCCGCCATTTTTTATGTTATGCTTATTTACTTCAATATGGCCGCCATTTTTCATGGTATGTTTAAACAAGATCCCGATATTTGTTGGATTAATAATAGGAACAGGATAGAAAACTCTACATTTAGATTCCGCATCTCTGATGAAATGCTTTATTGAGGCGGAGGAGGTGACAAGGTAGGAATGGTAATGTTTAAGGCTAATTGCTGAGCGACTGCCGAAGCCGGATTTTCTCGATGTTAAATGCAGTTCCACATTTATTTTTTGGGTGGAAAATGTTTTGGAGGCCATGATTTGATTTTTCTAAAGAGACGAAAAGGATCAAAGTTCGGAAGGGTTTTTTTTTTGGGGGGGAGAGCGATGCAAACAAGACAAAGGATTTAATTTGTTTTTATCCAACATTTCCGATATCTTCAAGGTTATAAAATGTTTCAATACACACACATATATATAGTGTATGCGCTATATATATATATATATATATATATATATATATATATATATATATATATATATATAGAGAGAGAGAGAGAGAGAGATATATGCTATATATATATATATAGAATATATGATTTTGCAATATATATTATATATATATATATATATATTAGTCGAATTTTCCAAGCGTGATTGTTCTAGGGAGCCAAGCTTACTAACCATTACACCGCCTCGAGGTATATATATATATATATATATATATATATATATATATATATATATATATATATATATATATACACACACATATGCATATTTCTATATATAACACAACCTTTAAATCACAAAAAAAGAAATCATCCTTAAATGTGCGTGGGGGTCGTCTTACACTACATTACTAAAAAAAGGAAGTTTAAATTCTCAGTGACGTTTGTTGATAGGCTAACCTCGGCCTCGGTTCGGTAACTAATGACGTACATGGAAAGA